TGTCGTGGTGAGGGGACTCCCTCTTGGGCCGTACCCCACAAGGGGTCGGCTCGGGGGGGTCTAAGAGCATCCCGTGCGGACTCCTCTCACTAGTGGGGGGAGTCTGCACACCAGGTCCGGTACACCAAAGGGCTTCCGTCCTCTTCGGAAGGCGGGAGTCCTGGGGGAGCCGTCCTTTTCAGGACGGTTCCCCATTGTGCCGGTAGGGGATGGCGACCCTGACTGTAAACGCTCGATGGGCTGGCACTGATAAGGGGAGGTTTGCTCCCTTCCTGGCTAGATAAGGGGATTCGTCCCCCTCGGCTCGGGTCCCTCGTAGGGCCCTCCCCTTCCCTCTTCGAAGGGATGGGGTGGTTCCGTTGGGGCTTACGAGTCGAAGAGACGACGCGGGGCAGTCCCGCAGGCGTGGCTGGGCGTGTCTGGGGTTTCGGCTCCGGGCACGTTTGGTCCCATGCCATGGGTGGGGAGCCATGCACGTGCAATGAGAGTTCTGTCTCGCATTGCGCGCGACTCCACCTAAACCGGGGTGATGCGGCTTCGGCCGTAGGGGAGGTCGGAGGACCGCTCGGACTTACTCCGAGGCGGGGCCCTTGATGCTCTTGGCGGTGGGCCTAGGGGTGGCCGCTCGGACTTAATCCAAGGCAGAGTGTCCCCTACCCGTAAATGGGAGATGTGGTTGCGGCCGTAGAGGGGGTCGGGAACCGTCCGGGCTTCCGGGTTGGGTACCGATACCCCTGGAAAAGGGTTGGGGTGGCCGCTCGGACTTATTCCGAGGCGGGGCATCCCTCCCCTGCCCCCGGGCCGCTCGGACTTATTCCGAGGCACGGCCGGGGATGGAGCCTAGGTGGTAGCCTAGGCACTCATGCGACGGTGTCCCTTTTAAAGCTGAGTGTCGGGCGTGGGTAGTCCTCCGTGTGGACTTTACGTCTGCACAGGGGTCGCGCTGGTCGCCATGGCGGGTAGGGTGCGGAGGGGGTCCGTTACCTAAACCGTCCCTGGGGCCCCCCGGGTGGCGCCACTCGTAGCGGTGTCCTCTTGGTCGGAGGAGAGGGACCCCCGAACACCCTGGCGTGGATTAACCCCCGCGTCAGGGCGTGTAAGGGGCATGGAGGTCTGCGCCCCGGATGTAACATTCCCGGTGGTCCGAGCCATATCCCGTCTCCCCGTGAGTTCACGGGGCTCTCCATATATGGTATCATGTCTATGAGGAGGTGGGGCGTGCCCGGACGGGGGAGCCGCTACGGGTAGTGGGATAGCCAGGTTTAATGGACTATTCACGGATTTTCAATAAAGGGAAGGGCGTAGGTAGGGGATCGTCCTCTCAGGGCGGTTCGGTTTCGGCGCCTTCGGGCGCGGGTGATGTCGCTTCGCCTTATGGGACCGGGGCATCGCCTGCGCGCGTGGGCCAGTCGTCAATCGGCGGGAAGGTGGCTTCCTGCGGGGCTAGTGCGGGGGGTTCCCCTCCCTCTCAGGAGGGTGGCGCGCCGTCCGTACGGTCTCGTGGGTCTAAGACCCGATGGGTTCTTCGACCAGAACCCAAATGGGTGGTTGATGGCGTCAACCAATACGATCTATCAATCCCCCCTCTGGAAGAGGGGAGGTGGTCGTGTTGCGACATCAACTGTTCGATGATATCATCGAGGAGAGGAGGGATCGCCCCTTTGGTAGGTGCAGTCGCACGGAGGAATACCGGGGGAAGATCGAGGGATTTGATCCGCTGGAGGAGCCCTTTTTTGGGTAATGGGTCCAGCGGGTCATCTAGTGAAGTTCTCGATGTCCTGGTTATCGGATGAGAGATCCGTCCGCCCGTTCTTCGATACGAGCGAGTCGGGTATCGAATGGATGCTCAAGAGATCATCCATTGACGTAAGCGAAATGTTGGCCGAAGAGTGGCCTTCGGTGTCGATCGCTTTGAAGGTACGTGGAGGGGATTCTGCTGGATCAAGTGAGGAATCGGATGGTCCAGCAGGG